AGACTGGCTGAATGGATTAAAAATCAGAAACCCTCCATCTGCTGCCTACAAGAAACCCATTTCATGGATATAGACGTACATACACTGAAGGGCTGGAAAAGTGTACTCCATGCAAATGGAAACCAAAAAAGAGCAGGAGTCACTATTTTGGACAAAACAGGCTTTAAGACAAAAGTCATAAGAAAAGACAAAGAAGGGCATTATATAGTAGTAAAAGGGCTGATTCACCAAGAAGATATAATGCTTATAAATATCTATGCACCAAACTCAGGAGCACCCAAATATGTAAAGGAAAGACTACTAGATTGAAAAGGAGAGATAGACTGTAACACTGTAATTGTTGGAGATCTCAACACCCCATTATCTCCTTTAGACAGGTCAACAAGACAAAAAATAAGCAAAGAGATTCAGGACCTAAATGATACCATGAATCAGATGGACTTGATAGACATCTATAGAACTTTCCACCCAAAAAACACAAAATATACATTTTTTTCTCAGCTCTGCATGGTACTTTCTCAAAGACTGATCACATGATAGGGCACAAAACTAGCCTTTACAGATTCAAAGGCATAGAAACTATATCCAGCATCTTCTCCGACCATGATGGAACTAAACTTGATATTAATTTCAGGAAAAGCCCTCAAAAATATACAAATACATGGAAACTAAATAACCTACTTCTAAATGACTCCATGACTACTGCAGAGATTAAGATGGAAATCAAAAGATTCATGGAAACTAATGATAATGAGAATGCAAGTTTCCATAATCTATGGGATACTGCAAAAGCAGTCTTAAGAGGGAAGTTCATAGCAATTAGTGCGAACAAGAAAGAGATGGAAAGTGCCAAAAGGACAACCTAACATCATGCCTCAGGGAATTGGAAAAAGAACACAAAACAAATCCCAAAAATGCCAGGAGAAAAGAAATAATAAAGATTCAAGCAAAAATAAATGAAATAGAAAATAAGCAAAGTATACAGAAAATAAATGAAAGCAAAAGCTGGTTCTTTGAAAAGATAAACAAGATTGACATACCATTAGCCAGACTAATTAAGAAGAAGAAAGAAAGGAACCAGAATAGTCAAATCCGCAATGAATCAGGCAACACTACAACTGATGTAACAGAAATACAAAACATCGTTAGAGGATACTATGAGGGACTCTATGCCAACAAAGAAGAAAACTTGTATGAGAGCCTGAAATTCCTGGACACGTATAACCTGCCAAGATAAACTCAGGAGGACATAGAAAGCCTGAATAGACCTATAACAAGTAATGAGAAAAAAAAGTTCAGGCCCCAGTGGTTTCACTGCCGAATTTTACAAAACTTTTAAAGAAGCGGTAACCCCCATTCTTCTCACACTGTTTCTAGAGATCCAAAAGGAAGGAACCCTTCCAAATTCATTCTATGAAGCCTCCATTACCCTCATTCCCCAAACAGATAAGGATACAACGTCCTGTGGAATGTCCCCACCTGGGTTTGGTGACACTGTTCCCAAGCCTCAAAGGGATGTGGGTTTTGGGGGAATGGCAGAAGTGAGATGCCCTTCCCATCACAGGGTGTCAGTGTACCAGGTCCCCACCTAGCCTCACTGGTGACATCAGCTCTGGGGAAGCCTCCAGGCTTCCCTGCCTACAAGCCCCCTTAGCCAGGCAGGCTCC